TGGGTCCGGTGACCCTTCCTCCTGTTCTGAGGAAGGGTCACCGGACCCGAAACGTTAACTCTGTTTTCTCCTCCACAGATGCTGCCAGACCTGCTGAGCTTTTCCAGCAACTTTGTTCTTGTTCTTGCTATAATAAACTTTCCTTGCATCCCAGCACCCTATGATGTTGTAATAGAGTCTGTGGCAATCTAATCTAACTCATCCTTCCCTGGGACATTAAAACCTTTCAAACTCCCCTCCCTCCAACAAATAACAGACTTCCAAAGGACAAGCGGTACGAAATTAAATCCCAAAACTGTTGGAAAGCTTCAAGCAGCTTCTGTACAACTGGTATTTAGATTCAATGACCATTGACTTGGAAGATGGAGTCTTCTCAGCCTTGCTGTCTGAACAAAACATAAAATGTTGGAAAAATACTCAGTCAGCAACTGTGATTACAAAATTACTGTTTCAGCTCGACGACCATTGACTTGTGTTGATCTTATTCCCGTCGACATGTGACTTTTGACCTACCGCCTCTGTTATTTTAAAAAAACGATGATTGTATGGACTCTCTCACTCACTCACCCATCCCTTCCGTTTACTCCTCTGATGCACGACCTTGGCCTCCCAGTGAAATGTTTTAACCGTTGAACCGTTAAATTCGGTAACAATGCGAGGTGGTGGAAGCCTGACTATTACGGGGAAGGATCTCCCGCCAGCTCGAGCCGGCGACCGTTACCGTTCCCCTCCCGCGGGCGGGCGCGAGCTGTTGACCGTTACCCCTCCACCTCCCCCGCGAGCAAGTGAGCGCGCGCCAGCTTCAAACGCTCGAGGGAATTCATCTCACCAAGGGGCCGGCGAGTAACTGATCTCCTACCCGACACAGTGCCGACAAACCCCCATCATTCGTTTCAAATCGTGCTCCTGTCAAATATATTTATTTGAATTTAACCTAGAATTGCCACTCCTGCTTTTCGAAAACTCGAGCCTTCACACCTAGTAGTGCCAGCTTATATTTATAGATGACCTGGCTGTATCACATCTCTGGGAACTTGCTGTTCGCAAATTGGTTGCTCCATTTCCTGCAGTGCAGCACTGACGGCACTTCAGGAGTAGCTCGTTGTCTGTAAAGTTTTTCCCAGACGTCCTGAGGAAATGAAAGGGCTTCTCTATGTAAGTGCAAGTCTTTCTATTTTGGTGCTAGCGTTATGTTTTAACCATCCTCAAGTCTTCAGTATGAATGCTTTGAAAATAGTTTGGTGGTTCAACTGCCTGTTACAATTCATATATGTAAACCTTAATAATTCCATAAGATCAATTGTGGTGAGTCTTCACCAATGTATAAGATGCTTGTGCCTACTTATGCTGAATCAATAATTTTTCATGAGGTCAATTCATTTAACTATTAATTAGTGGCACTCTGTCATATTCAAAGCAAGATGGTAGTATTATTGTTTGGAAATTAGCAGCACCCATTCAAATGCCAAATAAAAACAAAAAGTGCTGGAGAACCTCAGCAGATCTGGCAACATCTATAAAGAGAGAAACAAAGTTAACATTTTTGAAAACATTAACTTTGTTTCTTTCTCCTGCCAGACCTGCAGGCCATCTCCAGCGCTTTCCGTTTTTTATTTCATGTCTCCAGTATCCGTAGTATTTTGCTTTCATTCAAATCCGAGTCTGGTTCAAGATTGCAGGAGCCATAAATGGATTGAAAGGATGTTAAATGAATAGATAAACGTTTGAGCCACTGAGTTCACCGTCAGAAACTGTACTCGGTGACACCTGTGATTTTTGTCTCATTTTTTCAAGAATGCCTTCTACTGGAAGATCTAGCAATCAGAAAAGGAACAAGGATACTGGAAAAGAGGAGCACAATTTTATTCGGAGGCACTTTCAATCACTTCTTCAGGAGAGATTTTGCAGAGAAAGACTGTTGTATCTCCATGGAAAGAACTGTATTTTATACTACATGGTGGAAGTAGGTATTGACATTGAGTGTCAATATCAGCCCCTATGACTGCAGATCAGGGCAAAAAATTAAATAATGTTACAGTTTGGAAAAAAGTAGTTTTCACTGGAAGGAGGTGAAGCAACATGAGGACATAAATTTAAAACAATTGAACCATTGGGAGATTAAGAGGAGTTTCTTTTAAACACATCTACTCGATCTGGTATGCAAAGCTTAAAAGGGTAGGAGAAGCAGTTTCAATAGTAATTTCAAAAAGGATTCAGATTATATGGCTTCAAAAGAAAATAACTCCCACGCTGTGGGGAAAGAGCAGGAAAGTGTGCCTATTAGGATAGCTTGTTCAAAGAGCACATGTAGGGACAATATGCCTATAGGCCTCCTATGTTACATAATTCTGTGGGGAGGATTGGAAAGGCAACATACGGTCACTCTCTGCTTCTTCCTTGGATGCCAGCTTACTCTTTACCTTCTAAAACTAATGCTTCACACTACATATGTCACCTCTCTGACCAGCAATTACTTGCATGCAGAACCTTATCATTTTTCACATTAACCTAGTAATGCCACTAGATCTCATAGTATCTGCTTGATGTTATCAAGAGGATTATCCTCATTTTAGCCTTTACCTAACTCACTTAACCTTGTTGCAGGAGAAACTTGTGCAGGGTGCTCATGAGTGGCAGGACACAAGAGGGAACATCCCCACATAATGCATCCCCAACAAGGAGCAGACCATGGACCTGCTGGGGAGGATTCTGCCAGAGGCTCATCTCAAGCAGCCACAGGGCATCTATGCAATATCCACCAATGGTGTCTGCAATCAGGTAACTGACACCTTTTTAAAGGAGCTGGGGAATCCATTCAGTTTGACATGAAAAGCAAGGTAGCAGTATGATGGAACCATTCAGTTTTATCATTTATTTGATGAGCCATAGAGCAAGGTGTAATAAAGGATATCTACATAATCTACCATTATCCCTTTCATTTTTCTTCACCAAATTAATTCTGTATAGTTTGCTGAATACCCAGACTATGCGTGACCAGATTCTTAGAAACCTTCATGTAAATGCCATTGTCCTGAAAGTTATCATGATGCATTAAGCCTCAGGAATTATACACTCGATAAGCCTTTCAAGGAAAATTACAAAGAATATTTACAAATGACAAAGCATAATTCTGCAATGATTGATAAAGTCCCTTGAAGAGCTGTAATCACTGTATCTGCATGCACTACGAATTGTAGCGATAGAATGATCTTTGAAAAGACATTTTGTCCTTAAAAGATGTTTTTCATGCCTTAGTTTTCATGGAAGACTTTTGCAATATCCTTCAAATCATAGCTGGTTATGGACTACACAACCTTGCAATCCAAAAATGCCTAAACACTGAAAATCTTGGGGAAGTGTCCCTACCTATTTTAGAAGCAGATGAGCTTGGTATAATGCATCTTGAGGAACATAATTTAGAGATCCCCTCATTGGCAGCTGCAAGAAACATTTTAACTCAATTTATCAGTGAAACATTCTCATTCAATTAAACAAAATCAAGTCTTTTCATAATTCATTATGTTATTATTCCTTTCCCCACCTCAAAAACAAATTTTTTTCAACCCATTACATATCCTAAAAAATAACAATAATCCTCTTTGGCCCACTACCTACCTGGTAAATCAATGAGCACAAAACAGGTACACATTTTTTTTAAATTTAGAAACAAATTATATTGAATATAAACTATCCTATTCCTTCATCATGCTGTACTTACCCTAAGTATCAAAACATGCCTTGCTTTCTCCGATAATTATGCTTTCCCCTAGGTGCAATCTCAGGGCCAGTGTCATGACAGATAATTGTCTACTCCTGTGATCAAAAAAGGCTCATTGGACTAAGATGTGACCTTGATCCTGTGAGGGAGGCAACGCTGTCTGCATCTCTGGAGCATCTACCTAGGCAGCTTCGTCTCTTCTCACATGCAGAACTTGAATGATACTGTGGGAGGTAAGGCCAAAAGCCTGCATAAGACACTGTCCCAAAAAACACAACCTCATGCATATTGTCTCCAACCTTTACCACTTACCAAACTGTCTGCTGTATCTGTCTTTCTGACTAATAGGTTGTCTGCTCTAACGACAGCTATGAGGTCCTGAGAAACATTGTCCATTATACTAGCCTCCATTATCTAAAAGTTTGAAAGTGCTATCTTTGGGCAAAGAAGTTGCAGATGGAATTCAACCCAGAAAAGTATGAAGCAACTCATTTTAGAAGATCAAATTTGACTGCGGAATACAGGGTTAGTGGCAGGATTTTCGGCAGTGTGGAGGAACAGAGGGATCTTGGGGTCCACGTCCATAGATCCCTCAAAGTTGCTACCCAAGTTGATAGGGTTGTAAAGTAGGCATATGGTGTGTTGGCTTTCATTGGCAGCGGAATTGAGTTTAAGAGCTGCGAGGTTATGCTGCAGTTCTATAAAACTCTGGTTAGACCACACTTGAAATATTGTGTTCGGTTCTGGTCACCTCATTATAGGAAAGATGTGGAAGCTTTAGAGAGGGTGCAGAGGAGATTTACCAGGATGCTGGAGGGCAGGTCTTATGAGGAAATGTTGAGGGAGCTAGGGCTTTTTTCATTGGAGCAAAGAAGGATGAGAGGTGACTTGATAGAGGTGTACAAGATAATGAGAGGCATAGATAGAGTGCATAGTCAGAGACTTTTTCCCAAGGCGGAAATGACCATTACGAGGGGGCATAATTTTAAGGTGATTGGAGGAATGTATAGGGGAGATGTCAGAGGTAGGTTCTTTACACAGAGAGTGGTGGGCGTGTGGAATGTGCTGCTGGCAGTTGTAGTGGGGTCAGATACTTTAGAGACTTTTAAGCGACTCTTGGATAGGCACATGGAGGATAGTAAAATGTAGGGTATTCAGGGTAGATTGATCTTAGTAGGATAATAGGTCGGCACAACATCGTGAGCCGAAGGGCCTGTACTGTGCTGTACTGTTCTATGTTCTATCTATTCTGTTTCTGCACAGGAAAAGATGTCTGATTTCTGGCCATTTCCAGAACGAGGAGTTATTGCGAACAGTTGTGCTGATTCCTGAAAATGTAACCGTCTGTGATGTTCCCAAAAATGAGAGCTGTAGAGTCAAGATTGGCAACTATCAGTCGTGACACATTCTTGCAGACTGATGCTCTTTGAATGTCCTTTTTTTCAGGAGTGTACACAAAAATAATGGGTCTCACAATTTGAAAGGTGGTAACATCCAAAGAATATCTGCAGCCACTCACCTATCTTCCACATGCCCAAAATCACATCCTCACTAACATGATTTAGTTCCAGTACATCTGATTCTTGGAAAAGAGAAAACAAGTAACTTGGAACAACTTCAAGAGTGTTCAGGCAGAGGAAAATGAAACAAGATCATACTTCAGTGTAGCCTAATTCACATCATGCTGTTTCTTCATCTCATGATCACTTTCATCATTATAATCAATGATGAAATTTCTGCCTTAATTATTTTCCTTCTTATTATCATCTTTCCCTTCACAAATGCTGGCTGTCCGTTGCAGAAATTATTCTGCAAAAGAAGAGTATAACCTTAGAATTGATAAAGTTTAGTCCTTTGGATTAGGGAGCTGAAGAAGTGTCTGGAAGCTCTTGTGTCACTGTTCTACCAATGTGCAACCTTCTTTGTCTGACTAATTTCACCACCAATGACTGCTAGAGGAGTATATCACCAACATCTTGATGGCTTACTGTTCCTGAAAGACGGACTCTTTGATATCCAGGAACTTCCATCTTGTCCTTCTTCTTTAACAAGTATTATGCACAGGTTTCTTGTAACAAAGGTTTCTTGTAACAAACTTGAGTGCAATACATTTTGGCTAGCATTTGAAAGATATAGCTAAGTGACTTCAGAGAGCTGAGGTAATGTAGCTGGTGTACGAATATCTTAAAGAAGAGGAAGAAATTTTCAGGTCCTACATACAAGTAATTACTGTTAGACAAGATGACAATAAATATGGTAAGATAGTGAGTGGACCTCGCCACTGAAGTGATAACGGTGTCATGTCCAGCTACAAATTTCAGAATGTCATCAATGTGTTGTTGTCCACAGTCTTATGGGAAGAAAGAGATAGCAGCTAATCTGTTATTAGTTTTTCTTCATCAAGTCATTGAATATTTACTAGTACTGGCCTACAGTGTGTGGCAAGTGTGATTGCCATATGTCCATATGGCACAGAAGGATATTTTTAAGGCTTCCTCCCAAGAACACACAGCAATCTTTTTACTGCCTTTAGTACAGGAATATTTGTCCAGTAGATTTATGAATCTTTTGCCTGCCCAGTTCACTGAAAACAATCGGTGGGTGGAATGCCTCCTTTGTGACCAAACACAAATCTTAATGATCCTATGAATTTTCACAGCTGTTTTCTTCCGGTTGTGATATTCACATTGTCATTCAGTCAGCCTGCCTTCATAGGTGCTCACAGTAACCACAGATTTTAAATCAGTCTTAAACACCCAAGAGGGAATACATTAATTTAAGGTGCTGCCTCTCCCAAAGTTGACTATGCTGTATAAAGTAAATATAGTGCTGTATAAAGTAAATATAGTACTGTATGGCAAACAAACAAAAAATAGAAATTTCTGGAGAAACTCAGTAGGTAAGGCAGCAATTGTGAAGAGAAACCAGAGTTATGTTTTGAGTCCAGTGTCTTCTTTAGAATGATAGCAGCTAAGAAAAGAAGGTATTTATGCTGATGACAAGAAGTGGGGAGGCAAAGAAGTCAGCAGGCAAGGGGAAAGGGAACCCAGACAGAGAAATAGAGATAAGGCAGACAAGGGGATTGTTGATAATAAGCCAGGAAAGAAAAGAAGCTAGATGGGTGATAATGGGAGACAATGAGTAGTTGAAAATGGGTTGGCTGAGCTAAAAACAAACCATGTTGTGACAGGACCTGAAGTATGGGGTAAGTAAGAGACATGGAAGGAGGTGATCATGCTCTAAAATTGTTAAACTCAATTTTGAGTCCTGAAGGCTGTAAGATTCCCAAGCAGATGAGGTTTTGTTCATCTAGTTTGCATTGAGCCACACTGGAGTACTGCAGTAGGCCTGAGACAGAAATGCTGACATGGCAACATGACAGTATGTTGCCTGGAAGTTCAGGGTTATTTTTACAGATATAATGTAGGTGTTCCACAAAGCAGTTGCCCAGACTGCATCTTGTCTCCCCAGTGCAGACAAGACCTCATTGTGAGCAGCAAATACAGAGGACTTGATTGAATGAAGTGCAGGTAAATCCCTGCTACCTGGAAGGCATGTCTGGGGCTTTGGATAGTGAGCAGGGAGAAGGTAAATTCGCAAGTGTTGCACCTTCTGCAATTGCATGACAAGTGTTAGGAGTGGAGGAGTCAACCAGGATAGCCCAGAGAGAAAGGGCCCTACGGACTGCTGACAAGAGAGAAGAGGGGAATATATGTCTGGTGGTGGCATCCGCTACAGGTGGTGGAAATGGCAGCTTATATCTTTAGGATGCAGAGGCTTGTGGGTGGCAGGTGAGGACCGGGAGCCACATAATTGTTGTGGCAGGGAAGAGACGCAGTGAGAGCAAAAGCACAGGAACTGGGTCTGACACAGCTGAGGGCCCTGTCAACTACAATAGCACGGAATCTTTGGTTGAGCGAAAAGGTGAATATTCCTGAGGGCCAGGACAGATGCAACGGAGTCAGAGAAACTGGGAGAATGGAATGCAGTCCTTACAAGGAGTAAGGTATGAGGATGTTTAATCAAGTTAACAGTGGAAGTCAGTGAGTTTGTTATGGATTGGTGTAATAATTGATAAATACCATCTTTTCCTAGCTGCTGTCAGTTCTGAAGAAATGTCACTGAACTTGAAATGTTGACACTGTTTTCTCTTCACAGATGCGGCCAGACCTGCTCAGTTTCTCCAGTAATTTTTGTTTTTTTTGTTTGTTTCAGATCTCCAGCATCCGCAGCACTTAGTTTTACTTTTGCCAATGGATTATAGTTGTGTTCAAGGACTACTGTACCAAACTCCCTTACTCCATTCTCATTCATCATTCATATTTCTTATCAACATGTGTGCCATGACAAAAGCAACTTAATAGTTGTGACCATTTCATATTATTCCTACACCTTCTGTACTATGTGTAATTATGGAAGAGACAGGGTGTTTCTGTGGGGCAAGGTGTGACAAGAGAGAAGGTAAATATTTTGACTGATGAGAATCTCCAATTTAGTTGTCGAGATCAATGTTGATCATCTTTGACCATTATGACTCCAACACCACAATTCCAACACCTAACAATGAAAGTTTATAAAACTCAATTAGTTGAAAGTATCGTACAATTCACAGCAGTCCTTACACAAACATTCAATAGTATGCCAATTAAAAATATTACTAATCAATAAGTCTTATTACTATTTCCCTGTATCTTCACATTACTCTTGTATGTGTTTCTAATGCTAAGTAGTAAACTAGATTTTGTTATGTTTTTCCATGCAGTGAAGTAAAATGTCTGAGAAACTGAAACAGTGCAGGGAAGATCTAGCAGCTGCTCTGGACCGAGCTCTGGAGGACAACATTGTATCTCCTGCGTTCTCTTCGGATCCCGAGTGGCTTGAGTCAGGAAGGTTACTGCAACCAAATGCTAGTGCATTCATTAACCATCCCATTGCTAGAATGTATTCACCTTTCAATTCGCCACATCTCACCCAACCAGTTCTGCAAGTATTATCTGAGAGAGGACCATATTACTGTGTGCCTGCAGAACTTGCCCTGATGGATTGCAATAACATTTCCTTTAAAGTAAAACGGCTTGTTTTTGGAAATGCGGAAGGCTTTGTTATGAATGCTAATGTTCCAGTCCCTGATGGTCCCTTTGAAAATGGTTGTGAGAACACAGATAACTTTACACAAGAATATATCAGGTACTGAATAACAAAGATCAGAATTGTACAACTTGCTGACATTGATTATACATCTTCTCATCTCACATTCTCAGGAAAATGTCTCAAAGCACTTTAGACTACAGAGAAGATGGATAAGATGAGCAAACGGTAGTGATAGCAAGGCTAGGACAAGAAATGAAAGGTACCCTTGAAAACCAGGAGGAGACCAACTCCTGGAAGGATCTGATTAGACAAGGGTAGAAAGTTCCAGCAGGTATGATTGTAGTAAATAAGTGGTTGCCAAGCTTTGATTGGAGAAGTCAAAGGTTAAAAGTCCTCTATGAAAGCACAATTCGGTGTGTGCTGCAAAAGGAGGTTGTAAAGGTTAGGTGGTTTGAGGTCATAATGCAATTGGAAACAATAGTAATGTTGAAATTAATATGCTAGGACAAGTGCAGTCATACAGAACTTGGAACATACTGTGGTTCCATGAATGAGACTTTTTTTATCTGTAAGAACACAGGATGTAATGCTTTGTAGAAGTTGAGCTTCTCAAAAAAAACTGAAGCAGATAGTGAGCTGGTGAAATATTAGAGATTTCAAATTTTGAAGTGAGGAAGGTGTGAAATAGGGTTTCAGCAAAGAAAGGAAGATATAGGCAATGTCTTGGAGACAGAATAAAGCAGCCTTCATAATGGAATAGATGATTAAAGGGAGCTAAGTGCAGGGTCAAGCACTGCACCAAGGTTCCACACCTTCTGAATATAGAAAGTTGATGTGGTAGTTAGGTCATTAATGGAGTCATACCAAGAAGCATAGAAATGTTGCCAAGAGACAAATTCTTGGTCGTGCTGATATTCAGCAAGAGGACATTTTAGCTCATGCAAAAATCTGATATCAGACTAGCAGGTTGGAAAAGGAGAGGCATGAACACTAGAACGCTGGAAGTCACTGCAAGCAAAGACAGCATTAATGTAGGATTTAGGTTAGATATCAGAGCAAAACCAGAAAAAATATCTTGGCTTTGAACTTAGGAAAGACAGCCAAAGACGATCAACTGGTCAATGGTATCAAGAACAACAGAGGTTCAAGAGGATAAGGAAAATTCATGCATTGGTCTTGGTCAATCAGATTTTGAGTTGGATTTTGTCAGTTCTGAAGAAGTCCCATTACTCATTTAAAAACAGGTGCTATCCCACTCTGACAAGCATTAGGACCTTAGAAGTGGCATTTTGCTGGGGCTGCCATCCAGTTGAGGATGATAATGCCCACCTCCCCCACAGCTGCTGATCCAAACAGTGGATTGGCAGTGGTGCAGATTGAAATTGCCATGCCATGAAATTGCAAGTCAATGCCTCAATGCTGAGGAATCCTCAATGGTGTGTAAGATTTCCTGAGCATGACCACATATAATTTATGGACCTTAATACAAAATGTGGAATGCAGTAGATGTTTAACTTTTATTCTGTAAATTTATGGAGACCTGCATTTTGCAATGTATTGTCATTGTTTGAATATTTAAATGTTCATAATTATGTAATCCTTTTATTTCATACTTTATTTTAATTATTGTCTATACTATGTTAACTGATTACTTGTTTTATTTACAATGTCATCAGAATGCACCCACTGATATGATTGTTCAATAAAATAATTATCCATTCAAGCCAGAGTCAGACAAGAACCCCCAACAAACACTGCCTCCAGGGGAGGTACCTTTTTAGATCAAGGAGCATTCATCAAAGATGACACTATCCCTGCCCATTGTGACTGTGGAAGTGGGAGGTGGCTTTTAATTGGGTTCGTAAGTGACCACCTAGTAGCTGCAGTGTAAAGATTTCACAATTGATAACATCCTATGGCAGGAGGGAGACACCAGATTGCCTTTCTGCAGCCTTCCCAATGCCACAATACCAGAGTCCCAAGCTTGTCAGCAAAGAACTGCAAAAAGTCGGCCTGATATTTGTGATTTGAATTAACACAGTATCAGTACTGTGTGGTGAGCAAAAAATAGTGTTGAGGAACTCATAAGCATTATTTTTCTCATGCATTCACTTAAATTTTAAAAAATGCATGTCCTTTTTTCAAAAGTTCTTCACAAGAAGCCAACAATTATGCATGTCTAGAAGCACAGGGAAATAGTTCTCCAAGCAATTCATGTGAGGAACTGACGAAGAACCTTCTGGAAGTTATAGGTAATTGTTCTTTATTGCCAGAACCGCTTCATATTTAAGTAACACTCATCAAAATTAGGCTATTTGACTGTTAGTATACAAAAACTATTCCCAAGGGTCTCCTTCATACACTATTTTAATTAAGATTAGCAACTGTTAATGTATCAAACTAAGACATTTCATACCAATACATTCAAAAAAGTCGTATTTCAAAGCATAAGAGATCAAAAAAATAGTAAGGCCATGTTACAAGCTGGCCAAACACTGAAAGCATTTTGTGGTTGGTTGGCTTGCCGAGCTGATTCATTGTTCCATAGATGTTTCATTACCCTGCTGGGTAACATCATCAGTGCAGCCTCCAAGAAGCGCCGTTGTGTTTTCCCGCCTGTTATTTAAACTCTAGTGTCCGTTGAGCTGGGTTACCTCACTTACAGTTTTCCTTTGCAGTGGAGTAAATGTAGGGTCTAGCTCTATGTATTTGTTGATGGCCTTCTTAGAGGAGAACCAGGCCTCTAGGAATTCCCGTGCTTGTCTCTGCTTGGCCTGTCCCAGGATCCTGGGGTTGTCCCATTCAAACTGGTGGTTTTCCTTATCCATGTAGATGGAGATGAGTGAGTATTGGTCATGTCTTTTTGTTGCTAGTTGATGTTCGTGTCCTCTTGTGGCTAATTTTCTTCCTGTCTGTCCAGTGTAATATTTGTCGCAGTCTTTGCAGGGGATCTTGTCATGAAATGTCTGTGGAACAACGAACCAGCTCGGCGAGCCAACCAACCACAACATCCACAACCTGAGCTACAAATCTACTTAAAAACCTTACTGAATGCATTTGGACAACTTTATATCCATGATTGTGAATCGTGAGAACTAAGTACAGGCTTTATAAAACACAAAATACCTCACAATTTTTACTTTGCTATGATAAAGTTGGGGAAGTGTTTTGGCAAACTATATTACATCCATACAAACTTGAGAAATAGGTTATATTGAATTTAGCCAATCCACCTTGACTACCTGCTTGTCATTGTTTCCTCTTTGCCTGACCATTCTGAAATAGTGGAATGACATTGTCAAGAAACATACTGTCTGCATACCACTCAATCTTGCAGATGTACTGCAGTGATGCCAACTGCTGCTCAAATTCCAAAATCGGAATCCTCCAGCTAATTATATTTTCTGAACAAGGGGTTGTCCAGGACGAGAGAAATGTCCTGGTGTTCTCACATGGCATGGGATAAACCTTATATGGGACTAAGATGCTGTGCCTCTCTCTCTTTATTAGACTAACTGAACTTAGCAACAATAAATTAACAACTCAGTTTCTTTTTTGAAGCTTTAGTGTTTAGCCTTGGGAACAGTGTATCCAGTCCTACACTTGTTCCATTAAAGCCACTTTTCCAGTCTTCCCCATGTTTCTTATAGTCACTGCAGTCAAATCATACTAACCTGCAAAAAAATTATCTTCACTTTACATTTGAACAGTACCTTTCAGTCAAAGTACTATTGTCAAATTATAGATGCAAGATATGATGGTTTTATCTTGCAAACATGTATTAATTTAAAGATATTTATGTATAGTTAAAATCCCAGCTGATGGTACTACTGGACAAGTCAGATCCCAGAATGAAACCTAGTTGGATAGATCATATGTACTTTTAAAATTTTCATCAACATTATGAAACATAGTACATACACAAGGCTGCAGAGTTTTTTTAAACAACAGAATGGTGGTTTATTACACAAAATAAGAAATAAGTTTTAAAAAGCTGTCTAAATATAGTCCAAAGTTAACACTCCGCAAAACAAAATTTTCAAACTATTTCCTAATACCATCCAATTCCAGAAAGTCAAATCCAGAGAAATTACCCTTCTATTTCATATCTTGAAGGTCATATAACTGATTCTCCCCAATTTCTTGCCTGTGAACTGTGGAATCTTCGTACATGAATATTCACAACTGTGAGCTTAAGCTTTCTCAGCTTTTAATAACCTGAAGATTTCTAACTAATTTCACATGCTCCGGAAGCTACACAAATTAAACTTCTGCTGAGGAACCTTATTTCCTGAAATGCTCTGAAAACTTCCTTTTTGGGAGAGAAACTATCCACCCTTTTCACAGCTGTGGTTGATCCTTTCATCAATAATGCTACACCCCCACCTTATCAATTCCTTTCCTATCCTTTACACTGGCAACAGTCTGGTGACAGCCACAGAATTGCTTTATCACTATAAGTCTTACATTCTTCTTCCACCCCAGTGTATAGGAGCCACCCATAGTGGCACTGATTTAGCTTTGGCTGTACTCTCCTGAGGAACTATCATCCTCACCAGTATCCAAAATGGAATACCAATCAGTAAGCACAAAAGACTCAGGAGACTCCTGCATTGCTTGCCTGATGCTCTTGGACTGCCTAGCAATCACTCAATCTCTCAAAACTTGTACACCTCTATTAGTCACAATGTGACCTAACCATGCTATCCACATAGTCTCCTGGCTTGCAAAAGCAAGATGGTAACTTGAACCACAGCTCAGATTCCAAAATCCAGAGTTCAAGGTTGTGCAGCAGATGATGTGTCCATGACTTCACACATTGGGCAGAATGTACACACGAGTTGGTAGAGGTGACTTGGCATCCTATAACTTATAAAACTACAATTTAAAATTAGAACAGTAGAAAGATTTGCTAGTAGTCACCAATCAGCTTCTTCCTTCTGCCAAGGTAATTTGTACCAACAACAGGAAGATCTCCCATACTCCCCTCTCACTGATTTCAGTCCCTCAGTCTAATCTACCCTTCCATTGTTTACAACCACACACACCACACCACTCACTCCATCATCAGTCAGTTTAAGTGAATGACTCACTGCAGAGTCTCTCAATATCTTTATTGGTTTATCTCCTTGATGTTGAATATAAGGAAACACCTGTTCTTTTGAGATAAATGTTCAAAGCCTCCTGAAGTCTGATTCTCTTTATCAATATGGGAAGAAGAATCTTCTTGACTGTCCATAGCTATCTCTCCCTTCAAAGTAAATTCTAAGGAAACAACTTTTTTTCTACTGCAGCTACAGTTTCAATATCTATTTCCTTTCCTGCAATCCACTATTCTGAAGATTCCTTAGACATTCCAGCTCTGCAATTAGTTTCCCATTTAGTTTCCAGCAATTGGCTTTGGTACGTACAGTTTTGTTACAATGGAACCATGTTATTTTCTTTATATTATTTTTTGGTTCTGACCTTTCTCCTTTATTACTTTGGCATTCTTCTGTATGTTCTCTAATACTAGTACCTTCTCCATCCCACAAAGTTTCTATTTCTCCAAGGTGAACTCCCATATCACCATATCCCCACATGTAACTGTTATTGAAATATCATAGGTGTCTACTAGAACTGCTCCTTCTCAGATCTTTGACGCAATGCTCATCTAAATATATTTCTGAATTTGCAGGAATGCAATTTCTGATTTCTTCTATAGTCATAATTTCCTTTAGATTCTCAAAATTTATTCCAACTTCAATGATTGAAACCATTGAGCCTACAACATTTGGATTTCTCTTGCAAATTTATGCATCTAATTGTTTTTTTTCTTGTAGTTCTAAATTTTAATTGATGAGCTTCAGTGATAAGCTTACAAGCATTGAGTAAAGGGTTCTTGTACTGCACTGGTAATGTCCCTACCTTTGAACCTGCAAGGCCTGGGTTCAAATCCCTCTTGTTCCAAAAGGTGCGTCATAACACACCTGAACAGTTTGATGAAAAAAATTTCAATGATTATAGATATCGTAAACACTATAAGAATCTTCAGTCTGTCTTTCTGACAAATGTATATACACAGTCATAGCTATACCTGTCAAAACACTCTATAACGTTAAAGTCCAAACAACATTTGGCTACCTTGTCTGCCCAGCTAGGTTTTCAAATTAGGTGAAATATCCTTCAACTCCATCCTCCATAAATTTAAGTACTAAGTGCAGATTTTTAGTTAAATCCATCAGTAAAATCAGTATCATCCTCCAAGATACTACCTCTTCTTTCTTTTAAACTTTTTGCTGGCAAAGTCATATTGTCTGGTTTATCTGTCTAAATAGTGTTCAATCTTTCTTAGCTCCATTTTCTTTTCCATTGCTCTTTTATTTTCTCCTCCTTTCAATTTCTCTTTTCCTTCTAAATCAAGACTTCTCATTTTCTTTTCCTTTCTTCTTCCATTTCTAACTGTATCTTAGCTAATTCTGGCTGTGACATCTCAATTTCAGGCTTCCCTTTTTCTAATTCTAATGTTGGATAATCATTTTAGACATCTGTTCCTTATATGACCCTGCTTTTAAATCCACTTCCAATTTATCTGTTAACTCTCTCACTTTAGCCTTAGTCAAAGATTACAAATATTCCACTGTTAAATCTTCACTTTCAGGAAACACTTAGCAACATTCAAAGCCATTTTGAAAATACAATCCATGCAATAAATATCACAACACTCTCAATTAATATCCAGCATTTCCATAAATGCATGTGTTTAAAAGGAATGAAGATTTTCCCGAAATTAAATGATTAAAATCCCAGTTGAACCTCCTACTTGATTTGATTCTGGTTGATAGTACATCTGGATAGGTCATATCTTAGAATGAAAGCTGACTTTATGGATCATATTTTTAAAAAATTTTAGTTAATGTGATGGTCAGATCCTGAAACAGAGTACACAAAGCAGTAGAATGTCTTTAATAATAACAGAAATTTATGAAACAAATAAATAAAAATCAAGCTATCTAAATATTTAACTGTTAGAAAGATCTTAAAGCACAGTAGCACCATCCATTTATAGAAATTCAAATTCAGAGAAGTGACCCTATGTCAAAATTTTAAGTTCGAACGAACTGATTCTCCCTACTTTCTTTCCTATGATCAATGGAATCTTTTTACATAAATACCCTCAAAACTGGGAGCTTAAACTTTCTCAGCTTTTGATAATTTCCAGATTTCTAACCAAACTTTCAAAATGCAGAAGCTGCACTAATTAAGCTTCTGCAGATATAACTTATTCCCTGAACTGATCTGAAAAAAACCTTTTTAGGAGAGAAGCCATCCTTGCTTCTAACTCGAACCAGTTTATTCCAAATGGCCGTAAAACCATTCAATCTTTAGGTTTTCTAAACTCAAATCAATCGAGCTAAAAACAAATTAATGCCATTCAATGTATATGCTGTCATAAACCCAACAGCCTATACTTCTTAAGTAAAAGCAAAATATTGTGGATGAAATTTGAAATTAAAAAAAAAGGAAAGAGTCATATTGGGCTTAAAACATTAACTCTGTTTCTCTCTCTCCACAAGTCCTGCCAGACCTGAGTTTCTCAAGCACTTAATTGTTATTTCAGCGTAAATATCGTATTCTGTTAACACTACAGGGATCATGATCACCTGTTCTCTGGCACAAACTGGATTAAATCACTGCTCGTGAAGAACTGTCCAACCTTGTCTTTTTTTAAAAAATGGCCCCTCACAAAAGTAACCAATACCTATATGCCACTATTTTGAAATTCAAATTTTAAAAAATGATTTATATATCTGGATCACATCTTTCATCACAGTAGGCAGCTTTGATGACTTGTTTTATTGTTTTTCTCCTGCACTTAACTAATGCCTTGTATTTTAAGAAAGCACCAGCATTCGAACACTTGAGGCCTTAGCAGGAAAATTGGAACCTTTCAGTGATTCGTGTCTATCTCCTTCTCAGTCTGCTGGGTCCATATCTGCAGAAGACACTCTAGCCTTATTCTTTGCAGATCCACCCTACAGCCCAATAAAGAAAGAGCCACAGATTGGAAAATACAGAGTCTCAGATGATGACAACCTGATTAATATTGTCTTGGACTTGGAGGAAGATTACAACTTGGTGAAAAAGTTATGAATTATAAATACCTATAATATAAATATAAAGTGACCAGTTAAGGGACTTAGCATACTCCAATATCGTATCTGACTGGTCTGGATGTTAAGAGGGCAATCTATTTAAAATTGTCTTCCAGCTGAAATACTTTCTCAGCTTTTTGCAAGAGCACAAACATCTGTTGAAAGAACCAAATAAACTGAATGACTCTCAAAAAATAAACAATGGTTCTGGAGAATGTTGGAGTGTGAATTTTAAAAACAGGAATACCATTCTGCTCTTGACTAATGCTTTGCCTGTGGGAAAAAAATGGAAAAGTTAAGTACAGCTGCAAACTTGCACTTTGGTTGCATTGAGAACAAAACAGAATATAAAAAACACATGGTTCTGATTCTTTATGAAATATAAGCCTTGCCCTATGCTTCATGTAGAGATGGTTTCTCATTGATAATTAACACCTCTGAAATGAAATCTAGGCACTGTCACAAGTTACTCAGTAATTCACTACTATTATGTTTAATTTGTTGGCAGCTCAATGAGAGACGTGAAAAGTTTCAAGTTTTAAATAATCCAAGCTTAGTATGACAATGAACACATACATATTTTTAAAAACGTTGACAAATGTATTAATTACACCTTATATTAAATGTCATGTAATATGTTCCAGAGAGGATTGTAGATATGTAAAACAGTTCCATACGCTGAATTAACAGTTTTGTGAATAAACAATATTGGTTAAACATGCAGGATTGTATGATAAATTATTTCCCAAGTGCTAGATTATTTCCTAACCAGTAAACAAACATTTATCCTTTTAATAAACAAAACATAACAAGAATTTGTACTAATGCAAGAAAAAATATACAGCATAATTTTGTGCCAAAGTAACTAGTGCCAGAGGTAGTTTCTTTTTATCAGAACAGATTTATTTAAAGAGCGCCCTTTCCATTGGTTGTGGTGTAACATGTTAGTCTTTTACAAGATACATCAAGTGCTCCTTGGTTAACCTTTCAAAAAGCACCATCATATAGTAAAATGTCTAACAGTATAGATGTTTGATTCACAGGAATCAGCACAGGGTCTTCTTTTAGGTAAATGGAGAACATCTGCGCCTTTTTCGTTTGCCAGCTGTGCATTTCTAAAACAAGGAAGAAACTCATTAGAATACCATGAAAACAATGTAGCGGATCCATTAGCAGGATTTTATAGATCCCACCTGTAAATTTCCCTAGTGGCTCTTAGATTTTGTCCCCAGCCTGTCGGCAATGTAACAGGAAATGGGCATATTGCTGCAACTGAGACCCTTAAGCAGCCAACTCCTGGCCAATATTGAAGTCATTGGGATAAGTTCAGGAGCAAAGACAGGAAGGGGGCAGTTAATCCTCAGGCATGAGTTGGGCTGGGGGAGGGGGAAGCAAGGAACACAACATCTTCCTCAAGGATTCCTTCCCACGTCAGGCCACCAGCTCCCTTTCCATAACCAAGATGTGTTCCCAACTGGCGCTCTCTCCCCCGGTGGACTCTCCATCAAGATCTTACCTGCCTTCTTCCTGAAAGAGATCTGGTCCTGCACCCCAGGACATATAATATGGGGAGTGCTTATCATCCCAATCCTGACCATTGGCATTACCAGAACTACAGAGCATCAAATAGATGTAACCTGCCCTGATTGGAGAGAATGAGAGGTTTTTTTTGGGTGATGGGAAAAATTCTGCCCGTGTCCCAAGTGACAATTTTATGACACTTTATAATTGGACTCTTGAATGAACCAAATGACCACCCTTGCCCAACATTAACATACCACCACAATTTAACATCATACAGATAGTACATTTTTTTACACTTTAAAAGTTCTCTAATTTTAGACCTTTTGCAGAAGCAATCTGATGTCATCTGCGATATCGGTGATAACAAAATGTTTACTGTAGCGCTTGAAGGGTTCTCCATCTGCCCCGATGAGAAATTTCTCAAAGTTCCAGGAGATATCATTCCGAAGGACTGGGCTCCAAACGATGAATTTGTGATCATTTATTAAGGTGTATGGTTCATCGTGAGGTTCAGGCAACCTCTCCTTCAGAAAAGTGAAGATTGGATTTGCATTGCCTCCATTCACAAGGGTCTTTTCAGTCATTAAGAAGTTTGGCTCAAAACCATTGCCTGGGCGGACATATTTCAAGGCATTGAGAATCTCACTATTATCGTTGTTCTCCTGCAAAACCATTGGTAAAACAATGTCAACTGCAAAACTAGCACTTGGTGCATCATCTGCTGGATTATTTAATTAGCTGGACAACTGTGAGGCTGCTCAAACTCAATTGCAGCATTTTGACAAAGCATTGGTAATTTTTGGCAAGTTTTATTTCACAACCATCCCCTGGTTAGTTCCAATATCCTTTCAAAGAATGGCTTGTTGCCATGTATGTTTCTCAGAAGCTGGAGGTATTTTTCATCAACCTGTTCACACGTCTGGGAAGATGAGTGTTGAAACCTGACCCCCTAGCTCAAAAGTAGAGAGTCTACCATTGCCCTACAAGAGCCCTATGAAAGTCAAATCTCACATTGCAGTGTCAGAGATTGGGTTTACGCGTAATTTTAATCAATCTGTTCCAGATATGATTCATAACACGTTAATATCATGTCTCCCTCAAAGGTAGAGATTCTATTGCTGCACCACAGAAGCCTGTCGAAAACCTAAAAACACTGAAAAAAAAACATTGAGTTCTAGAGAAACGAAAATCCGACTTTCAATTATTTGTAAGTCTCGATTGCAATTAATTATACGTAATAGACTCGGACACTTGCAATAAAGCTGTACAGAGATACCGTGCCTTCCCGAAAATTTTTACTCTTCCCTTTGCTGAGTCACCCACATCTGCGCGAAGTGGAGATAACCACATTGCCATTGGACGCTTTGGGATAGAATGGAAAACGGAGTTTTCCTACTTTGCACTTTTAATACAAATGGCAAACATAGTTTCATCGAGGCCGAGCAGATTTATACATAAAGTTAAACACACCACGTGAATATGATACATGCAACTTCAGAACGAAAATAAACTCTTAAAAATAAAACAGCCGTCAAGATACCAAGTTTGATCCTACTTCTGATGCACAGAATCGAAAACGAATATAATTAACAAACAGAATGTTAAAACTTAATTTAGCTTTAAAATGTCCAAACCTTACGTAATAGGGACCACTGAGGCTTTGTGATTAAGGCTTATTCAACAAGAAAAAGTTCGAGGTTTTTACAAGAGAACACAAATAAATTAATATACGGGGCCGGGAATGATTGGGACAACGGACATTTTAAAAAATAATGGACCCCCCCACCCAGCGAACAACCAAACGTACTTGGTAACCGAATTGGTTGCAGGGAAAACCGATCACGACAAACCCCTGATTGCCGAAACACTTCTGGAGCTCGTTCAAGTGGTGGTAATCCCTGTTGGTCGAGTTTCAAAGAGAGGCAACGTTTACGATCAACACCACCTTCCCTTTGAGTTTGGAGAAGTTTAGGATATCGCCATTGAGAAGCTTCGCGGAAAACCCATAAAATCCCTTCTCACAGACAGCCGCCATCTCTTGAGTTCTCTACCAAATCTTTCCTTACAGCGGCTACTCGCTCGACATTAGCCAGGTGCCTCAAGAGTATCCAGTCAAAGCTTTCACCCAAAGTCCTTCTGCAGAGCAGAGTGTTGTGCAAATATATTCCCAGCTCGAGATAAATGAAACTAAAAGGAGTAGACGTTAGTAAATATCTGAGTCTAGTAGTTTTTTTTGTGATTGTTGTAGCAGCAAATGACAACATACGTCAAAGCTGTATTCAGGAAATTGACACATCAATTGTTTGCGTAGACAGTTTCATTATTAGACTTAAATTTCCCACCGGCTATAGATGCAGAGAAAATCGCTGATAACTTCTGGCTGATGTCATTTCAGGAGAATTTTCTAGCGAAATGTTCAGTCCCACATTTATTTCCCTGCAAAACTTGGGCCATCTTTGATAAATCAATTCAGATTAGCATTGAATTGCCTCAGCCGGGCAGGAAACAAAATGGGCCAAATAACAGATAACGGTAGATGGTGGCTATTTAGCTGCAGGAGCAGTGATCCAGAAAGAGTTCGAATTTCACAATTGAAGTTGCATGGAAAATTTACAAATTTAGTGAAATTTAAGTTTAAGTAAATTTAAGTAAAATAAAACGCTGGCATAATGATACCCAAATAACGATCGGATAATTATTTTAAAAAGAATCATTCACTTCATGTCTTTTAGAGAAATGAAGCTACTGTCCTTATCTAGTTTGGCTCTAGACCCCCAGTAAAGTGGCTCACTCTGAGTATTGGCCTAGCAGACCACTGAGCAAAATAAAGGGCAAAAAATTCTGACCCACGTTCTGTAAATGGACAAAATAAACTATCATATTGCCACTAATAGGAACTTTTGGAATGATCCAAGCAACTGAAAAAAATGACAAAATCAAATTGCCAACCTACCCAGCACTGTATTATTGATTTCACATGACACCTTGTGTCCTCTGGTGTTCAGTGCTTGCAAAGACATCAAGTCCACTCATGGACAGTGAATGTTTTCTCTCCAAGGATAGCTGGACATGACAAGAAGACAGAAAATAGGAAGACAAAGCAACATCATCCAACTATCCCTCGGTACTGCACCACCGCCCACACACACGCACCCACATGTATACACCCCCACATATACGCACACATATATACACACACATATACACACATGCACACATTGTTCACCAGCATGTATCTTACCAGTCCCGAGATTACAAAAATTACCTAGAAGATGGTCAATGAAAAACACACATCAACTAATTCACCCACTCTCTGTATTGGCCAACCATAAATTAACAGAAGAGGGGTAAAAACATAGCCTTTTCAATCAACTATACAGGGGCTGCTATCCCTCATACACCAAGTTGAGTTTAGCACAGTCTTCTTGGTCCACAGAAATCACATATTACCTGGAATTTGCAAGCAGTATACGA